ATATAGTTTCTTAAGCTTTATAAATGTATTGGTTGTATGTTCCCAGTCTAGAAAGACCTGGGCTCGATTCCCATTTAGACCTGCCATTGTAAAGCTTGTCTAATTTTCTTTAGTTGTTGTGGAAACACCAGAACATGTGGAAATCTGGAGCTAGTAGAATTATATAACATAACGTGACAAAGGTTCATCTTGTGATTACGTTACGCAGACTACATTTTATGACTTTGTGATTGTTGCCAACTTACCAACTTTTGTATGTTTTGTACAGGTGATGAAAATGTAGCAAAAAGTGACTTCTGTATTATATTTTCTAAAGGTTTATGTATATTGACATAGTTCTTGTGTATAGATGTCTAGAAAAGGGATAGAAGAAAGCTCCTATCAGGATGAAGATTTATAATTTTGTTCGTAGTAGTAAATATCTTGCTATTCTGGAGACAGAAAGTATTGGAAAGATGTTTATTGACAAGTCAATAATGAGTCATTGTCTGAGTGTTGTAGTGTTGTATTTTGTGTGTTAAAAATTTTGCCAACTAAGAACTGATAGTTCTGAATGTTGTATTATTATTAATGATATCTGTGAACAATACAATGGTCCAACTGTGACTTGAAATTGTGGCTCCCGGTTTCATTAATGGATGGACCTCTAGACAGCAGTTTAGGAAACCGCAGTTCAGTCCAGATCTTGTTGGATTAATGTTAGATTTACTTTCTACTTACCCCGCTCCACTTCGTCAAAGTTTATAAATGAAAGTTAGCCATCAGCCCATTAAAACCAGAGTTAGCTACGAGTTAGTCTAACTCAATATTAAGTCAAAGATTAGCCATCAACCCGTCCACAACTAGTTCGGGTCAAAGGTTAGCCATCAACCAGTTCAACCCTATGTTAAGTCAAAGGTTAGTCATTCGTCAATCCGTCCAGCACTAGGTCAGGTCAAAGGTTAGCCATCAACCAGTTCAACCCGATGTTAAGTCAAAGGTTAGTCATTCGTTAATTCGTCCAGCACTAGGTCAGGCCAAATGTTAGCCAACAGTCAGTCTAACCCAATGTTAAGTCAAAGGTTAGCCATCAGTCGAACCCTTAGTAGGTTAGCCATCACTCGTATTACTACTAGTTGATCTGATTTTTTACAAAACATTCAAAACCTTGCTTTATCAAATTCTTCATTTACCAAATGTCAGCAATTTTTACATTTGGTTTCTTCTAAACCCTAGTAAGCACACTTGGTTTCTTGAAAACCTACTTTTAAGTAAAGAAATAAACGAAGTACATTAGAGGTAATTATGCTATCTTAATAGGTACTAGTACTTCGCAATTAAATCAACGACCGAAAGTTTATGTTCCTAGTAAGTAAATTGAAAAGATATCATTTTAGCAAATAGATTGATGTAGCTCTAAATTTAGTGAAATTATTTTGCTTCTTGATTGCTGGGTTTAGTTTTATTGTACAACTAACCCAAAGTATAGAATTTTAACTTGTTTATCTACCCACTGCCCGGACAGGACAGCACGAAACTCTTAGCCGCGTACAGCCCAGCTTGATTGACAGCTGTGATGACGACATTAAAGGCCTTGTCTATGGCCGTGTTTAAACGGAATCACCCAAACCGCGATTCAGGTAACTCACATTCCTTACATCTGGTCCACGTGCCACACACTCCAGTGAAACCGTGTCCGAACACAATTCGCTTGAGCTACATTTATTACTGTTTGATGATAACACGCAAGGTGGCTTGTTATTAATGTCAGAGGTCAACGACGCTGAAATTTTGATGCAACGTTGACCAAAAATCCACCGAAAAAAACGTTAAAATACAGGATTCTGCGCAGGCGCAGTACGTTCTGCCGACTTGCTGTCCAGACGCATGTCGGTCTTTTCTTGTAGGAAATTCAAACTCTACTACTGAAAAAAAAGATTACGGAGATAATATCCGGACGTTCCAAGTCACATCCTCTACTCTTCTTCAGCGTCACTATTGAAATAACAGAACTCGTTAAAGCATATACGAGCAACTAGAAAAACCGGTTGAACATGACAAAGGTCCATAAGGTCATTGATACGGTAGTTTCTATGGAACTGCTACTGTCCTTTAGGTTGTGGCAGGACAGGGCCCCATGTACTAGAGAGCTCTAAACGTAATCTTCCCTTCCGGTTTAAGGTGGGGTTGTAGATCCGTTCGTAGATGGCCTTCTTGACACCGCGTTCGTGAATCGAGCCTGATTCCCGTCCGCCCGTCCCGCAGATAGGTAGGAATTCTTGACCGGCACAGAACGGGGCCGGGGCGTCAGGACCTCGTCTGACTCATCCGGTGTGCCCTCGTACCATACCCGGTGTGCAATCTCGTCCACCTTGCTCTTCTTCCTGAGGTGGCGAGCTGTGTACTTCAGGCGGGAAACATATTCATCTGACGATCCCTCGTCTCGCTCTTAACAATAGTTCCCTGGACCAGACGGGCCTGGGTGTCCCTTTACAGGCATATATAATTTGATTACGTCACAACTTCGAAGAGATTAAAACTACAGTTAAGGTACTGAAATGAACATTACGATGTACGTAAAATCGACAATTACGCTCTACGTTGAATTAGGGTACGCTCTACGTAGAGTTAAAACGGCGGATTACGCTCTACGGAAAAGGGCATGCAGACGCCCATGCAAGTTTGGCCTCCCTAGCAGCTTGTTTGGGAACTCCAGGGACGTTTGTTTGAAAATGTTAGTAAGTAGTCTAACGCAAAAACCAGTTGACAGATTCAGGTCATTAACCCTTATTGGACAGCCATGATTGATATACCACATGCTTTATATCATGATTATTTACGGTTTAATGTTTAACTGGTCAAAGTCAAGGCTCCCGTCGTGCCCTACGGCAGTGTTACAGGTAAACAGTTTGCTGCTCGTTACTGAAGTTTTGTCACAAAGTCTGGAGAGAGAACGTCTTTAACAGGTGCGATACAGACCATGACACCGTATGTCAGTACGCTCCCGAGGTGGTCTGAGTTACAGACATTACTACTGGTCATCTGCTGTGTGGTCAATGATGGTCAATCTGTGGAAGTTTCCACGACCCTCGGTCCGATCCGAGGGTTCAGCACGGCCCTGGGTGACGGTACCGTCCTGAACACCTTCCTCGGCGTGCCCTTCGCAGCTCCCCCGACAGGAGACCTCAGGTTCCGCCCTCCTCAGCCGCAAGAGCCCTGGACAGACATCTTTGACGCTACAAGGTTCGGCCCGGCGTGTCTGCAGTTCCCCAGGGCGGCAACAACAGCACTGCATGCTTATGACCCCGGTCTGGACGGCGTCAGTATTTCTGAAGACTGCCTGAACTTGAACGTGTATGCTCCCAAGGTATTATAGATAATGACACTGAAACTCGAGTCCTAAATTTTCAAGGTCGAAAAGACTTTTCAAATGAATTTGGTGTGAATTTCTTACTGGTAACAGAATATATCCAAAGTTGGACAACTGTTCTGCGAAATGCGAGTGCCTTTGTTTATTGTAGATTTTATCTTAAACGTACGCTACACTAATCTGTAGTTTACAGTCAAACATATAAGGATATGCCATATATGATTAAATCCATCGTTTGCATACTCCTTGATGATGATGATGATGATGATGCATACTCCTTACCTCCTCTTAAAAAGGTGTACACGAACTCACAGAGATTTTGTTATGCAGTATTGTTAGAGGATGACACTATATAATATACAAATAAATCGTATACTACTAACTGTATTGGAATTCAGGACACCGATAAAAGAAATTCAAAATGTTCTTGTATAACGTACACTCTGATACAAAATGAACTTCATTTTCTACATGGTTGGGGTCACAAAGTGTAAAAAGTTTGTCACTACGAGGAGTCCGGATGTATCTGCCTTCTTCAATTTGAAGTGGGTGATCACTAGTACTAATTCTTAATTTAATAATGGCATGGCGATGCTTGCAGTTATTTACATGAAAGTTAGGTCCACAGCAATGCTTTTTAAAACCCTACTGAACTGTAGATCCTGTCGAACTTTTGGATACCTCGTTATTGAAGTTTGAATGAGCACAATGATGACCTTGACGCCCCACCGCCATGTTTATTCTGTAGGTGTCAGACGGTGACCCTTTGCTTCCCGCCATGCTCTACATCTATGGCGGTGCTTACCTTTTCGGAGCCAACAAGATGTATGACGGAAGTTTTCTGGCACAGAAAGGAGTCATCGTCGTTATCCCCAACTATCGCCTCGGCACTCTAGGTCATTTCTACGATATCTCAACATAACATAACATAACATAACATAACATAACATAACATAACATAACATAACATAACATAACATAACATAACATAACATAACATAACATAACATATCAATTTTGAGATTAAATTCGATTTATTTTGCATTGATTGTATATCAAATAGGATAATAAAACCAAGTACCTATACGCCCATAGACTCTATACATATTTATTTATTTATTTATTCATTTGGCTTACAAAGAATCCAGGTGTCCCAACTAGTCAAAGACTATTACTAAGGGACATCCTAGGGGAAAGATGAAAATTATTAGACATACATAGATGCATTTACAAATTACATTCTTAGTGAAATATACAATTATGTATAATGGTGCAATAATATACATACATTTAAAAAAATAAATAATAAAGTCCTGGTATATACATGGTTGCCGAGGTAAAAAATGCAATATGTTTATTGGGTTTGATACAAATTTAATTTGATTAAGTAGAATATGGACCCCAAGGGATTTCCCTACTTAAGCTTTAAAAGAAGAACGTGTTGGCGCTGATTTTATGTAAATTACATATTTGTTTAACTATTTACCCTGTCAACTCACTAGGATTTTTCAGCACCGGAGATTCTAGTGCCCCAGGGAACTATGGGATGTTGGACCAACTCGAGGTTATGAAATGGGTTCGTGACAACATCCGGGCATTTGGAGGTAACCCCGATCGTGTGACCATATTTGGTCAAAGTTCGGGGGCAGCGAGTGCATCTCTACACCTGTTATCTCCGCTCAGTAGAGGTAAAAATAATTTTAATTTTGCAGGAAGTTGTTATCCTTAGCAAGCAATTCAGAGGAATGTAAGATTTTACTGTTTGTACAAATGCATATACAATTTTTGCAAACTTCCAGGGTAATGGTACTGTAATTATATTAATTGTTTTTATCTTTATGTTCTGTACATGTGTCCAGACTATTTTCATCAGGTTATTCTACAGAGCGGCGCCTCGACCAGTCCCTGGGCCGTCCTACTGCCGGAGTATGAACCTCAGAAGTACACAGACGAGCTGGCCAGACAGACGGGCTGTAGTACGCAGGTCTGTAAGATCTGTGCCTCGATCTGGTGTTTGCAGTCGTGTGACTAATTTAGCATCCACCATGTTGGTTGGTTAAAGATGCGTGCGAGGAAATCAGATAGGAAATGTCACTTGCAGGACCTGAATGTATGTCAGTTTATGCCATTTTATTCAGCCTAATGAATCAAACAAGTCTAACGAAAAACAAAAATTTTCCACCCCCAGGCGTCTCAAAAAATCATCTATTTCCATAACTTTGATTTTGTATGCTCACTAATTCATTATCGTGAAATGCCATTTACAAAAGTTATAACAATGTGCTCTTATGGCAACACGTTGTCATTAACATATATGTATTAAACACATTTTGGTTTACTTTTTTCAGTCAGCTCAGAAGTTAGTTGGCTGTCTAAGAGAGAAGACTGCTGAAGAGGTTTCCCATGCAGATGTTGGCGTAAGTCTTGTCCTTTTTTTCCTTAATGCATATTTGCCTTGATTAATTCCATGAGATATCACTGGGCGAAAAGGCCTCGGATGCAGCCGGATCCCAAGGATCCGAATTTGCATCACCTTGCGGATGCTGCGCGAATCTCCAAGAATCCCAAGGATTGCTGATCCCACACCAAGAATCCCCAGGATTGCGGATCCCACACACATCCGTAACGCATACGTATGCATCCGTAACTCGCAGCGGATGCAGATGCGGCATTTGTAGGGATACTTACTTCGCAGCGGATGCAGACACGGTATCCGTATGGATACTTACTCGTTACGTATACGTTAGAAATAATACGTCGTTAGGATAGGAAATGTCACATTTTTAGGGGTCGTGACCTGTCATATTTTTGGACCTCGAATACTACCGTTTATAACATAGATATAAGTCAGACAATCCACTATACACTGGATACAAGGATACTCGTATTCTTGGGAGTTTTTTTTTACATCCTTGGTCCATTCCACAGCAGAAGCGAATTGTGGGTAATCTGGGGATTTCTGGAGTATCCGAATTTGCTTTCTTACGCATCCGCGGGCCCACTCCACAGCAGAAGCGAATTGTGGGTAATCTGGGGATTTCTTGAATATCCGAATTTGCTTTCTTACGCATCCGCGGGCCCACTCCACAGCAGAAGCGAATTGTGGGTAATCTGGGGATTTCTTGAATATCCGAATTTGCTTTCTTACGCATCCGCGGGCCCACTCCACAGCAGAAGCGAATTGTGGGTAATCTGGGGATTTCTTGAATATCCGAATTTGCTTTCTTACGCATCCACGGGTCCACTCCACAGCAGAAGCGAATTGTGGGTAATCTGGGGATTTCTTAAATATCCGAATTTGTTTTCGTACGCATCCGCAAATTGTTGAAATTACAGTCGCCACAAGAGGGCGCACCCCGTAAATAGCCATATACGTACATTGTAACGTTGCCTTTGCGCGTCGCATAAGCAAATGTCTGCTCGGTTTCGTGACTGTACTGATTTTTGCTGATTGGAAACTTTGCGTATCAGACAAGAAGTTGGTTCACATACAACCTTCGCCGGTATCAAAACCGAGCATCTCTCAAAGATCCACTTCTGTATTTTCGACGGATCCGCAGAGCAGTTCCGGCAGCAGCAGTGCCTTGTGGGTAATCTGAGAAAACCCCGAGGGAGATTCAAACTCAACGGTCACTTTCAGTGACCGCTTGCCTGAGTGTGCGTCCCTTTCTATCGTCCCGCTGGCTGTCCATATATATCCGTTGCACATAAGTTCAGCAACCAGTGCCAACCACGGCATTGATTGTCAAAGTCTAGGATACTGACCGTACACCGACTGGACGCTATGAGGTATCAGTGGCCGAGACAAGGACGAGAGACGTACCGGGGACATCGCCCTATACGTCGCCCGGCGAGGGCACGAAGCCGCCAGGCATGTCATGACACGTTGCAGACTCGCCTGACGAACAGTTCAACTGGACCATAAACCGACTGCATAAGACTGTTGACGGCATATAGAAGTGAGTAAACCCTTCAAAACTCTTTTAATTAGTATGATCATTATGGTTTCAGATCATTTCTGACGAAAGTTTAGAGCAACTCAACTTCGCAACTCACATCTGACCTGTTGTTCCCATATGTAAAAGCGCCGGCCTTCTCACGGGGGATATTTCACATGTCAATGCTGGCTCGCATAACAATGCCTGCTGCTGGCATCCAGGCCGCTGGGGAGACTGTTATCCTAACGGTTTTTAGCACATTCTGGCCGAAATGCCATTTTTACACTGTACTTGTTTTCTGTTGATGTGTTTTTTCGTAGGTCAGAAGCGACTGATTGAACGTGGTAAGACTGTCTTCAGTGCAGACTTCTACAAAGACCATCCTGATGTGGGACTAGGAGACAAATGGTGGCTGTAACAACGCATGGACTGTGAGACGATCATCCTGGCGAAGCAAGACGTGATAGTTCTAGTTCTACCTGTTTAGTATTGCAAATATTTATTTTACATATGGTACATGTATTCGTATAGTTATTGCTCTCTTTTTTGTCACTTTACACAGTATGTGCGGAGTTTTAATAAAGGCTTTCAGGCTAAATCTATTCATTCGTTTCTTCCTTCATTTATCTAATTTGACTTGCTTGTTGGATCTGCACGTATACATATCAAACACGGGCGTATCCAGGGGAGAATGGCGTAAGGATTCGGGAAGATCCGAGGTACGGATAAAAAAATCCAAACGCCGGCTCTGTTTGCATCCGAGGCAAATGCAGAGAAATGTGTATGAAAATCCGATAGGGATACGGGAAAATCACAAGTTGTACCTGTACGCATCCGTGTAAAATACCGACGTCTGCACGTGGGGATCTATCGCATATCCGGAAAAATCCCTATTAAAAAAAAATCGCATCCGTAGAAAATCCCGATTTTTGCATTCTTTGGGATCCGGACAGTCCAGGTTACTTCAGGTGTACAAAAAATCACTAAAGAAACAAATTGGAATCCGCGGAAAATCCCGCTTTGGAATCCTTTGGGATCCGGACAGTCCTGGTACACAAAAAAATCCCTAAAGAAACAAATTGGTATCCGTGGAAAATCCCATTTTGGGATATTTAGGGATCCAAACGTTCCGGATCCCTAAGAATGCAAATTTAGAATATTTTACGGATCCTACCCGTATCCGTTTGCATCCGCTTGTATCTGCTAAAAATGCGTAAATATCCCTGTGCGCATATGGCTGCATTCGAGGCCTTTTCGCCCAGTGTATGGCTAAATATTTACCGTCTTAACCCAACAGAAGCCGTACCCGATGTTGTCTTCTGCCTGGGCGCCTGTAGTGGACGGTCCCGGTGGCTTCCTGCCCGCCCGCCCGCGGGACTTACTGGCCATGGGACGGTTCACCGAGGTCCGCCTCATGGCGGGCTGCACTACGGACGAGCGCGCCAGAGACCTGGGTACGAACCAGAAATCTACCCTGGCTGCCAGACTGCGCGGTACAATTATTGCTAACGCCCACAGATAGTAAAAGGGCTGGCCAAGTCCCCTCGGGCTGAACTCCCGCGTACAGGGAGTTAGATAGGCGGGGGTGCGCTCTTGGCTACCGAAGGAACCCATTTGACAACCTGATACTAGCATGGCACCCAGGGTTCAGAAATGAAACGAAAGTTTACTACTTTTATTTAATAAAACTAGGAAAGATTTTGAATACGTTACATGTAAAAGGAAGGAGCAATAGACCCCCCCCGTCTTTACTTAAGTATACAGTTTTTCTTTTGTTTTATAGCAAACATTCCTGGAGTAGAGAACGGAGTAAGTAGAGACCGCTTTGTTGACGACCTGGCCGAGTTTGTGCGAAGATTCCCGACAAACAGCGACTTCATTTCCGACGCACTTCTTCATGGCTACACGGACTATGAGTCCATCGACGATCCTATAATAACCAGAGACAACTACATACAGGTGCAGGATCCGTCATTTTGGTTTAAAAATTTATATTAAGGGCAATGAGAAAGTGGGTCTGCACTTAACTTATACACTTATTTTAACAGCTCCACTTGACATTTAACTCAAATCTGGATCAACAGTTCTGTATAGTCTTGAGGTTTTGGGGCTCATATGAAGTGATATGAAAGGTTTAGTTTTCATTTATGTCTCTGTCTTTCATTCAGAACCTTTCCGCCGAACCAAGGTCGGGAACAGTCTTACCAAATGTAGGCCACGTCTACATTTCTATGAGAAGTGGATCGAATTTGAGTAACGTTTGAGTCTAAATTGACTGCCAATAACGCACCGACCTTCTCCCGAACATTAGCCAACCACCAGCCAACCATCGCCGAACCTCCCGTTCATACCCAAATGTTTTAAACATTTTGAAACATTCCGGCTGGTGCAGCCAAACAATAGCCTACCTGGCCGAACACCAGCCGTTACCACAGCCGACCTACCCTTTAACTACGGTTGGGGGGAGTTCGGCTAGGCAACGGGAGGCCATATTTGGATTATGTGTGGCAATGGCATATGGGGGGTGGGGGTTAGACAGAGCCAATTTGATGAAAACTGACAAAAGACGTCTGCTTGGAATTTCCTGATGTTTAGTGAAAGAAACAGATTACAGGAGATGCTAAGTTTTTGCGATTCGTTCCCCCAAATCATCTTCGGAGACCATAATAATGAACCTTGTCTCTCACCAGCTCCTGTCTGACTATCGGTACATCGCGCCGGTGGAGGAGGTGTTACTGAAGATGTCGGCAGGGGGCGTTTCAACCTACAAGTACAGCTTCGGTTATCAACCCAACCCGGACAGATGGCCGTCATGGCGAGGTAAAGTGTTCACGGCCATGTGTGATACATTTTTCACTTTTAATGCAATGTAAAGGTGGTGACATATTCAGACTTAAGGAGAGAGTTTATAGAAGAGAATTTTTTGCTGTTCTGTGATCTTTTATATCTGGTGCTACAGGACACTGTATGTTTGCATGCCTGTGAGAATTTGCCGATTCTGGAGTTATAAGAGTGGCTACGTACATGTTTATTCTGTAGGAGTGCCCCATGCGGCAGAACTCCGCTTTCTGTTCAACATAACGTCTCAGTTTGTGGACGGCGCGCCCACAGCGGCTGACATGGACATGCAGGACAAGATGGTCACACTGTGGACCAACTTCGCCAAGACAGGGTGAGGGTTACTTACGTTTTAAACTTTCACAATGACAGAGTTTGGGCTGTCGTTTTTTTTTCCTCAGGGGAAGGAGATACCTTTTGGCAGAAGGGTACGGTTTCTGCAATCCGTAAATAATTAATTAATAAATCTGGAAGACATCTAGGAGAGGCGCGACGCTCCCTGGAGCTCCCTGGAGCATGCGGTCCTGAGTGAGTGAGTGAGTGAGTGAGTGAGTGAGTGAGTGAGTGAGTGAGTGAGTGAGTAAGTGAGTAAGTGAGTGAGTGAGTGAGTGAGTGAGTGAGTAAATAATTTCAGCAGGTTGGCAAACGAATAAATAGCAAAGTTCTTTGATCACAACCATTTCGTTTTCATGAGCCGACGTTTTGATGACCGTCTGTTATCTTCATCAGGGCAATTCTTACTGGTTTACTGTGCCCTGACGTTAACAGTAAAACTAGCTTAGGTGCACTGTAAATCAAGTAACAGTGCATTGTGAACTACGTAACAGCGTCAGTGCATTATACACGAAGTAAGTTATCTAGTGTCAGTGCACAGTAAACCAGTCAGAATTGCCCTGATGAAGATGACAGACGGTCAACAAAACGTCGGCTCATGAAAAAGAAATGGTTGTGATCAAAGAATATTGGTATGTTTTCTGTAATGTTTGTGTGCTTGCAGCTGTAACTTACGGTGGATTTGTCGGATTAATTTGATTTTCAGATTAGGATTAGTTATTGGGGTGCACATGATGCGTTGTTTTTTTCAGTGTGTGTCTTCATCAAAATATTTTGACGTCCCCGTACAGCACGCGGTGTGATCGCCCATTGTTAGGGACTGCCGTGAAAGTACATGCGGTGATCCGTCGGGGTTATGCTATTTTTATTCAAAGTGGGGGTGTATGACCCCAATAACACATCTCGGTATTCTAGTCATCAGGCGGGTAACAGGTGTTGTGATCGCTTTGCGTTACATACTTTCCGGAGAATTGGAATATCAGATTTGTTGTTCCATTCTGGTATAGTGTTACGACAAATATATTAGTTACATGTAACAATTACCAATGCCATGCTCGTGAATTCATTAGGATAATTGCTCAGAATGCTTGTGTCTTCTCACTCTCCTGTGTCCGTTGTTTTGTTACTTTTATTGTAACTACGTGTAAATTATCAACAAACTTTAAGGGCAACGACGTGAAATCATTTTTGTTTCCCTTTTTAATGAAGAAATCCAACACCATCTCCTGTCGATGGAGTCACGTGGCAGCCGTTCACCAATGAGACAAGAGCCCATCTGATGATTGACAGGCCGCTGTCGAATGGGCGGTTCCTCCAGACCAGGCGCATGGAACTCTGGGACAACGTCATCAAGAAAATGGCGGAAACGGACACCTGTGAGAAGGACGGAGTGACCAGTAACGGACACACGGTTCCCACCGCTGTGGCCATGGTTCTCATGGCATCTCTAATTACAGTCAAACTTGTTTAAGACGCCCACCTAGGGCAGGGGACCAAGGGAAACTGGTCCTCTTATACAGAAAGCATGGTGGCAACATTGCAGCAATATTTCCACCCATTTTACAATATATTGCCTCATTGAACCAAAATGACCCATTTTTCATTGCGCAAAGAGTGTCTAATGCTGTCAAAGACAATTGCAAACTGTCCTATTCCAGCAAGTTTCGCCCCAACACTTGAAAATGACGCGATAATGTCATAGGCAGAGATTGGGTCATGTACAGTTCTAAATCTCGGTCGTGTTTGTCAAGTGGTTGGCTCAGTCAGGCAAGTCTCTTGATGCTTACTAGTAACTCTATGGGTAAGAATTATGACCAGAAACTAGGAGGGCTTATAGAGGTGGTTTGTGCAATATTATTCGAGGCCCGTATTCTTTCTGTTTTATGTTATTTGCCCTTAAATGTGATTGTATAGTTTGAAATTACAATGTTTTAACACTTTTAACTTAAAAGTCATATTTTGACATACCGATTAAAGGTTTTGACTGCTTACAACAGTTACGTCCAAGTTGATGCAAACAATATCCCAGGACGTGAAAGAATAGTTTGGTCTAAGAATAGTCATATTTGACGCATTGTAATAACGGACGTATAAGCACTTTTCTCATACTGAATGGCGATTTCTGTCCTCTTTAGCGGTCAGAATTTGTGACAAAATTTAAAGTAGATAGTGGTATCACGACTGGAGTGGGTTCAATTAATGTTAAATGACCATTAAAATTACATATCAAAAATATGTTTGCCACAAAATATACTGCGTTCAAAGAGATGCCACGTAGTAAAGACTCCCTCATAGTTCCGACAGAGTGTCTGTACCAGCCTTATTCAGCTGTTATAAAAAGCTAGGGTAAACGATTCGTCAAGAGAGGTTGACGTTTGAAAGATTAGTAATGTTTGAGCTAGGTCAATAATAAGACACCCTGTTACAATAGGCAATGTTACAAATGGCTGAACGGACGCGCTATCAGTCAATAAAGTTGAGCGATTAAAGGTAATCGCAAAGGCACACAATAGAAGGTGGTGACTTGTCTTATAAGGCCTTGTACGCACGTGCCACATTTTTGCCTTCCACAGTCCTATAAATACATGTCACATGTTTCAAAATGTGATATAACATGATATACATACTAGTATCTCTCGTTGCACATGTGTATATAACGTTTTGTTGTCTGTTTGACACTAAACGTGGTACATGTTGATATTATATTTTTAAGCCAGCCAATAATGAAAATTGATACGAAATATAGCTGGGATGCTAATACCTTTACTAGCAGTGACAGCGTCATCTAGAGCAATAAACCGTAGATATTAATGACTTGATGACTCTAAAGTTTAATTGAGTTCCATTGGCAACTCTTAAGTGATGTAAAGATTATATTAAACGTAGAACCATAAAAGTCCTTTATTACCTTATTAATTTTAGCCCAGTGGCAAATCAAAATGCCATTAAAAGCCGATCATTTATTTATGACGATTCCGAAGTCGAGTGCAGATTTATATCAAATTGGAGTAAGGGAAGTCATGCTAAGTGATTTTCTCAGTGATGACTGGTCCAGTCCAACTTTTAAAGAAATCGAACTCGTGACACATCCCCCGTCTCTGCTAGCCTTACAAAAATAGCACTAACACAAAGTGCATGCCAATTTACAGTACTCATTTGCACCTGACCAAAGTGAGGAAAGTCGTGACGTGCCTTTCCCAAGGGTACAAGATCGGTGGCATGTCAGGACTTGAACCGGGGACTTCTTGGTTCCGAGTCGCGCACTCTGCTGCTACGCCACGCGATCACCGCTTATATGTATATGATTAGATAACTACACTGGTATCCTTAATATTTGTTTAGAGGTAGCTAGTGTGGTTTATAATTGATTGTAACATCACTGCAATGTCATTAGTTTAGGGAATTTTTAAAATAACTAGCTGAGTTAAGGGAAAACTTGTCCCTTGTGTATGCAATAGTCAATTCTTTCTACCTTCTTTAATAAACCAAGTATTTTAGAAGAGTAGTTCAATGCAAGGCCTATACCACCACTTCTAGGCATTAAAGTAGAAATATGAGAGAAACATGGCTATGTCAAGAGATGGCGGTGAACGTTAGATTTGAAAGCCTGTAGATTGTAGGTTGCTGGGAAACACTTGTCAAGGAGGGAATTCCAAAGCTTGGCGGTACGGGGAAAGAAACTGTCACTGTAAAAAGATTTCGAACTAGGGATTTGGACGGTGAAGTTGTGTGAGCTGGTGGAGAACCTAGTGGAATAATTATTCGCATAGACTGTCCCTGGGTTAAGATAAAGGTCATGATCTTTTACCCTAGTCGTACTTTGACGGAGAGTTCAAACTTCCTTATTGACCCAGGTCTTTGTCAGAACCTACTCTCCGGTGTAATCAAAGACAAATGTAGCTAATAAGCTAAGCTGGATACAACAAGGAAACACTTAACTAACACAGGACCATGGCGACAGATGTATTTTTCTCCTAACTAAATAAGAAGTTCAGACACTTATCTTCAATGGTCCCTATTTGTTACAAAGATACACACTTGAAATTACTTTTAATGACGGAGTCTGTGCATTTGGCTACCTATACATCCAAATGTAGACCATTTTAGATATTGCAACAGAGGTGTTTCTCTGATACCTGCATACCAAGTTCAGGCACATATCTTCAACGGTCACAATTTGTTACGAATCTAAGCATTTATCCACCTTTACTTAGCTACAAAGAGATGCGAACGGATTGTGTATTGTGTATGTGCAATTACATAATCTCTTAGTTTAACAGCTGATCGCAGCAAACGTTTGGCGTCTTTTTGTTAATTAACGGGCGTCCAAATAAGCGTTTATTGTAGTCATTTTCTACAAGAGAGCTCTAATACGTCTTGTTAATTAATGGCGATTCCTCTATCTACGCTAGATTGTTATATTCCTGCTCATTTTTTACACCAAAGATTTATACAACTATGAGGATCTTTATGAAATAAAGACTAAGCTTTAACTTCCAACACTTGGATTACAGAATTCGGACTTAAGGGGGCAATTCTGTAATCTAAGTGTTGGAAGTTAAAGTTCAGTCTTTATTTCATAATATCTTGTACCAACACAGATGAACTTTCATGCTATGAGGATCTTTATGCAATGCAAAGTTATGTCTGGTAACGCTCACGTAAGAATGTTATAGACATTTCGTGATGCACAAAAACAGTTACTTTTTTAGCACATGGATAAGATTTTGGAAACGGTCAATACATTTTTGGCCACTACCTTTCGTCAGTGATACTGGTGAGATCTAAAAAAACACGAACTATTTTTCTTGATGCTTTTTTCTACAAACCATTTCGGACACAACTATTTGTATAGACTCTCTTCAGGACCAAGCAGTAAAGGCCATGGGCTTTTAACCTAGTCGCACTTGGTTCCCTAAAAGAACCCAGGTCTTTTGTCAATACCAGCTCTCTGCTGTAATAAAAAAATTAATTAATGTAGCTAATCTGATAACCAGGTACAAAAAGGGCACGTCCAGCTAAGGCAGGACCCTGGCAACAAACGTGTGTTCTCCTAATGGTACAACAAGTTCCGACACTATCTTGAACAAACACTATTAGTAACAAAAGAACACAATAAAAAAAGTCCTAATATTGACGGGATCTATGCCATCGTCTATTATCAGCCACTTAAGGACCATTGCAACAAACGTGTTTTTGTCCTTGCTGCATACCAAATTCGGACACTTATCTTAAACGGCCATTATGTATTACAAAGATACACACTGGACGTTCCTGCAATGATATCCATGCACTTTATGTTCGCCTTTACCTAGATAAGAGGAGATTACATTGTGTAACATTACAGAACAGCTAGAACAGAGCGTAGGAAACGGGCTTGACGTGTTGTTAACGGGCGTTATGTCAGGGTAGAGAGTATATTTTCGTTTAATCAGCGACTCTACCGGTGGAGATCCAGACCGGAGTCTCAAAAGCAAGACTATAACTTTATTGCTTGGGTCAAGGTTGATTGTTTACGTCTTGGGATAATAAACCGCCAGTTGAAAATGTTAACATGCTCTTTTCAAACGGTAGTTAAAATGATGAAGGTACCGCGATCTCCTTGGCTTTTATCTCTTACTATTATAGGACTAGTCACATGCCAGATATATAAGTATTGAGTAAAAATGCCCTGGGAAGCATGTTTGAGGGCACGGTTATTTGCATTTCCGATGTCGCAGGAGGATGAAATTTTCAGGACACACATAACTTACCATGTACTACAAGAAAAACATATAAGAACATATAAGTGCCAAAAACAGAAATTCCAGCCTTTAAAAATTGTATTTTAACCAAATATGTGTACTGGCCTCCCTATATATGCCACAGTACTTCCACAGACCACGTGTCACTAAATGCCTCAAAAGTCCCTCTATATCATTTAAGATACACAAGGGAAGATTATGAATGGTGTAGATTTTATCCTCGTCCAACAATTTGTTATAGCTGAGTGCCATGTGTATGCCGGATGATCAATACTCATCTATACATGCTCAAACACTGTTCCGTTCAACCACTTTTGCTGCAGTTGCAATGGTTCTACTCCAGCCCTTAGACGAACAATAAATTGTTAGCCAATAATATAAGAATGATAAGAGATACAACTTAGATGCCTTTGCCTTTACTAGTAGTGACGGCAGAGATTTAAACATCATAAAGAGTAATAAAACGGTAAAATCAATGACTTTGTGTTTAATTGACTTCCATGGGCAAGTCTTAAGAGACGTCAAGTTTATTTTGAACCTAGAAGAATGAAAGCGTTTTTATTTTATTACTTTTAACCCAGAGACGAGTAAAAGCCCATATAAAACAATTAATTTCATTTGTGCCCTAGCCGTAGCTATGTCAACATTTACAAGTTATGGTGAGGAAAGTCATATCAATTTAAATTTTCTTTTATTTATGTTGAAAGACACTATTTACATTTACATTCTTAGGTACTTATATAAATACTGTTTGTGCTTGTCTAAAGGTAGTACAGGTCATAATTACGTGTAACATCTGACGAACACAATTTTCCATCCAACCTTTATTTAAAAAATATATAAATGTACAATATGTTATAGTACCACTCTTTGGCTTGAGCCGCTTTTCAAGAGGTCAAGAGGAGGTAGGTAAGGGGTCTTTTACAAAACTAATGCTTCGGTACAGTTACAATATCAAATCAGTCGTAGAAATACAGTATAAATACATACAAGTCCATACAAAATTGAAACATTATCCCAATTCGTATCTTATTAGTATTAAACATCCAAGTTTCATTTCACAAGTTATAGTCATTCTAAGTGACTCGACGCAGTCTGTTTTTAAAAGCTGCAACTGACGTGGCCGTTCTCAGATCAGTTGACAAGTTATTACACAGTACTGAGCCTGAATAGGAAATCGAGCATTTGTAGACTTCCCGACGAACCTTCGGCACATACAAAATATTCTGCATCTGTATACGACCAACGGCGTAACACATAGGCTTCTCAGACAGGCAGCACAGACACAACTGGCTATATTATACCGAACGATTTGTTAAAACTAGCCTTTACTAAAAGTCTGTACTAATACCACAACTTGATGCTTGCGTATGAAACTCATAGACTATTTTTCTTATTCTTTTTTTCAATAAAACGTGTTTGAACAGTTTTAAAAGCCGTTCTAGACTTGGTTCAAAGAAAGGTCATGTACTTTTACCCTAGTCTTACTTTGGCTGGTCGTTAAAATTTCCTTATTGACGCTGGTCTTTGTATTGTGCCAACTCCCGCTGTAATCAAAAAGAATTGTAGCTAATCTGATAATCAGGTACAATAAGGACACACCCAGCCAATCCAGATCCCTGGCAACAAAAGTATTTTTCCTAAATAAACAACAAGTTCAGACACTTATCTCCAATCGTCATCGTTTGTTACAAAGATACACACTTGAAATTCCTTCCATTGACGAAGTGCATTTTATTACCTTTACCTAGATACGATACGATTGTACACTGTGTATGTAAGACTACATAATGTCTTAATACCTGGGCATAGCAAACGGGTTTGGCGTCTTGTTATCGGGTTTAATGTGTGTGTATATATTTTCCCCTTTTGTTAACCTTTAAGCGTTTATTGTAGCCTTGCCAATCTTTGCCAGATAGTCCTGACGCGTTGGTGTTATGTGACCGGTAATGTATGCTTTGTGCAGTATTTCACCCCTTGACAATTTCCTCATTACAGACAACGTACACCAACGGGCCTCTAAAGGGGTTTGTGGAAGCAAGCAAACTTTTAAAAAAAACATGTGTTTAGTCTTGAAAAACGTATATTAGTAATAGCCCCAACTTCCCTTTTCATTCCAAGCCATATGTAGATGCACTAGTACATAGTGTTCCGTTATATCACACAACACATTAAAACTTCAGAAGTAGAAATGATGTATCCATTTGCACAGCAAATATCTGTACCTTAACTCCAACGTGCCCCGAATCATCAAAATCCTTACATCACTTATCTGCCTCAAAAGTTGGTAAATAGCCCAAAACTCTTTCTCTTGTCAGAACCCCAAAGCTACCTTTTTATTAGAAATAATGGCCATATCATATTCCCACGGGGATACATTCATGGATTATCGCAGAAAGGCATTAATAGGCTGCTGTCAACCAAAAAGATATATAACGGCTCCGCCCCTAAGGCGTTGCCAGGAAACTCGTCTCGTTGATCACAAAATCCCCCGTACTGTATAGGACGCCCATACAGTCCCGCAGTCATCGGAGTAGACACGTTGCTGCTCTTTTCTGTGGTGTTTCCTGATGTCAATATGAAGTAGTACACAGCATGTTTGTTGAGATCTTCTCCCGAGTTTTCGGGTTGGCCCTTGTGTTCGGACTAGCTTCAGCCAACCTCGTGAGGCTTGCACCGAGAACCGAGTATGTGTACGACTACACGGCCCAGTCACGGCTGGGAGATATCGCCCTGCTGGTCACCAAGGCGAAGGTACCGTCAACTGTTTTTGCTTTCTTCCCAACATGTTTATACAGAGACAGTGTTTGCAATACCACCTTGATAGAGGGAGTTGAAATCATCTTTATCAAGTTTTTTAAAGCATACGAGACGAATAGTTAAACTCAATCCCGAAATATAAGTTAAGGAACTCACGGGACACAAGGTAAGCGTGTGTTAGTTTAAAGCAGTTTAAAAAAGAAGATTCATTAGGTCTAATCAATGTAAAGAAATGTACACATTAATATATTGCATTGATTGACTATCCTCCACCAGGCCTTTCTATGGGAACACGGATCGTAGAATTCGACAAAAAGGAGAGAGTAAAATTGGCCAGGGGAGTCCGGCCGCGGGGAGGTAGTTTTAGTCCCTCGAGGCCAGCCAGTCAAACCTACAAGGCGGCCAAACTCCCCTGGCAATATTTCTCCTATATATAGCCAGCGTAGTTAGTCTGGTAGAGACTACTGATTGACTTCTTGGCATGAGAATATTTTTCCAAACAACAGTATTCCTTGCACCGTAAATGACATACGAAGTACAAACTGCACATTTGCCCAGTCTGCTTATCGGGTGCCGTACCTACATGTCCCTGTGTATAACAACACATACTGATTTCAACTTCGAGGTGTTTTTTTCCCACTTACCAACCTCCTTCTAGTGAATACAATAAAATCAAAAGCTTAACATGAATTCCTGCACTTAATCTGCACTTATCCGAACCTTTCTACCGTTTAAAAGTGTTTCTAATCAGCATACATGTTTAGAATGGTCCATGGACAACCTTTAAACATTTTTTGATGGATTTAGGGTGGCACAAGTTAGCTATGATGGCCGAACTTGTCTAGAGCTCAGATTTTAAACGTTACCAGCACCTGTGCAGATTTGCAGAGGTTCTGAGTCATGTGGCAGTTCGGTAGAATCAGTAGAATGTTTTAATGACTTCCAACTCCCTTTAATGCTTGCGGTACGTCGTATTTGTAAAAAAAAGCATGTATTTGAATTGAATGTCATTTATACGTTATTTTACAATTATAAGGTGAGCTTCTTACTACTCCTTTCATTTGGTGAAAAGATTAATTGTCCCAAAGAGTTAAAAAGTTAGTAAAGGCTGTTTCCTTGTCTTTTTGTGTAGAAGAAATGTGACTAGAATATAAGCAATACATAGGGATTAGAATTATTTTAGTGTAGTCCGAGAATCCGAGAAAAATGACAGTCTTTTATACATATTACACGTTGCTGGAAGAATCTGGATGAAGTCTTTTGTTTCAAAGCAGAATCACAGAAAACTCTGGCTGAAATTGACATTTGGCTTGTAGGCAATACTAACAGACATACTGTACACTTTGCCGCCATTTAACCCCCTTTACTGCACGAAAAGTTGGGTTTACCAAAGGTTGTTAACTCAGGTAATGCTTTATAATGGTAGTAAATAAAGGTCAATTGCATTAATTTCCTTTACAACCCTTGTTAAGTCCGGTATTACCTACTTGACCTGTCTTTACTTCCATTGTAAAGTTTAGAAGTATTCATTAAAAAAAATAAACATTACCCAAGTATACTAGCATCGGTAAAGCTAAGTTTTCGTGCAGTTCTTCTGTCCCCCCTGTTAATTTCCTTTTTCCGTACTTTCGCGTGCCCCTCTTACCATAGTACCCTTTCGCAAGTTTGTACTATGTCTGGCTCTGGCTCTAACTTTGGCTCTACGTGTAGCTCCAGTTCTACAACGGTCCCTAATTCACCAGTTTCCCATCCCCAGAATGCACTGCGAAAACAGGAGTCTAAACCTCATTTGCATAGGACACGAAGGCATCGGAATGATCCTGTTGACGTCAAACAGCTTGTTTGTCAGTGTATTTTGAGGTGTTAGTGCATTTTATGCTCAACGTTATAATTAATTGAATTACTATGGGTTGAAGCTGACAACAAATAGAGGATAATTTTTTTTTGAATATATGGTTAGTAACATTACAGTGGTAACGCTATACTGATGCTGTAACTTACAAAATACATGTTCCATGTTGAAAAGAACACTAAAACTTCATTCTCTATTTGTCAGATTCGAACCATAGTGTTGTAATTAATGTTGAGCATAAAATGCCCCAACACCTCAAAACACAGTGAAAAGCAAGCTGTTTAATCACCATGATGATTCCGATGCCTTCCTGTCCTACTCAAATGAGGTTTAGACCCCTGTTTTCGCATTGTATTCTGGGGATGGGAAACTGGTGAATGACAAAGTTATTGTCTTCGTCAGAAGGACTATGAAATTGTCTCGCCGCATTGTGGGAACTGCGGATTTTGCGATATACCTCTGGCAGGCATGATTCAACGTCCATGATTTTTGGCAGGCAGATTACCGTTGTTGAGGCCGAAGTCAAGTGCAAGTTTCGGCTTCGTGGGGGGTCCGTGCGTCATGTTAGTGCACCTTTTGTGTTTGTGGCTTGTTAGCAAAATAGCTCAAGTATTTGTAAAATGTTGCTTATAAGTTTTGGTAGACAGATTACTATTGTTGGGACCAAGGTTAAGTTCGTTAATGGGCTCTGTGGGGGTTTCGTTGTCACTGTAGCGGACCGTTTGTGTTTAAAACTTCCCCCACCACCTCTGCTTGGAGACAGCCGACAGCTGGATATAACCGGGAACCCCATAATAGGATGGGATCAAATGACGTTACATTGAGGGATTGTACTATAAGTTCAGCAGGGGGAGGATAGGTTGGACATGGGACAGGTTATTTTTTACGGCCACACCAAGTAATTGCTATGTATGACGTCCACTGGAGACCTGAAATTTAATGTAAAAATATGAAGGGCTGAAAAAAGAGATGGAATTTGGAATATACTAACTGTAGAAATACACATGTTATGACACAAGTCACACAAGTTGAATAAAAGAACGCAGTGTAACAAGAAACAAGTCTCTATTCGTCATAAAGATAAATTAACAAAACAGCAGTAGTCGCTCTGTTCTGATTCTTTCTTTATCACATCTTCTCTTATTATATTTTGCGACACTGTCGTGACACTTTCATCATACTACAGTAAGAAGAATTTCTTGTAAGTTTTTTCCAGTAACAGTCCAAAATCAAATAACGTAGGGTGGGGGTCTAACACGGGTGACGGCGCGTCTGAACCCTTTCAGTGTGTTCTGTAGTATAAAGAGTACCGAGATTCTTTTGTACTTTAGACCAAATTGATTATTAAAAAGAGTAAAGAATACACATGTTCATTTCTCTAGAACAATGTATCTCTGACGAAGACATGAGATCTCCGACCTCTAGTTTAACTTTGGTCTCTGCGTGTTAATGGTCCCGGACGCTACAGGACGCGGGAAAGGCACTCGTACCGGGGCAAATTTCGGTCTCGTAAACGGTCGTCGTCTTTCCGAACGGTCGTCGCCTTTTCAAACAGACGTCGCCATTTCCGAGCGACCGAACTACCCGCGACATGTTCGTGACTTTCCGGAGTTCCTCCCCTCCCCCACTACTTCCTACCCCCTTCGCCACTTCCTACCCTCCCCCGCCACTTCCTACCCTCCCCACCGCCACTCCCTA